GATTCTAAATACCATATTCGATTTACAAAATTAATTTTTTAAATCGATTAGCGGAAACAAGATAGGATCATACATACCTCCAGCCATAACTTAAACGAACAGAGTCGACACTCACAACTCACACGACAAATTTTCTGTTATAGATCTTCTAAGCTTTTCTCACTCACAACCCGATGGTGCAAATGAAGAGGAGCAAGCTTAGGGACCAAAACAGCAAGCATCACATCTAATTTATAGTACTCTGCCCATCACAGAGTTCAATGGATGTGACCACATTATGGAATGTTACTAAATTCATGTGTTGAACTTAGACACTATATGAACCACATTCTGAAAATTATTTCTCTTAAAAACACCAAAGAATTCCAACGGTTATTGAAATTAATTTGGGAATTCCAAAGGGTATTGAAATTAATTTGGAATTCCAAAGAGTATAGAGTTTTAATTAATTTGGGAATTCTAAAGAAACAAAATTTAATTCCCATCATTAACTAATTTGGGAATCTTAAAGAAAACATCCCAACAGTGAATTCACCTTAAAATAAAAATCCAGTTCTACAAATAATAACAATAATAGCATATGCTCTCCTCTACATCCTTAAAGATTAACACAGTAATTCTTCTCCAACCCCACTCATTCGATATTATCATCAAACCTATAACAACTCTACTAAAACGGTTAAAATAGGAGACATCAACAAACCCAGAATAAGAAGATTGGTTGGAATGTGCAGTTTTCACATTCAACATTTGGCTACAACGTAGAGGCCCCAATCTCCAAAACTCGCAAGAACACCATTGTTGAACACAACATCGAATGAAACAATAAGCTAGCAAACAATAGTATGACCTCAAATTCAAATTAAGAAAACTCATTATTGTCAAAATTTAGCCACATTGATACACAATTAGCAATACTCCATTTTTACTCAACAATATTTAGGATCATTTGCAGTACATAAATAAATAGGCCCATCACGTACAAACTAAAGCTATCTCCTCATTTGCAGATCCACTATATTTTTCACATTTCTTTGCTAAAACCTTACAATGGAAAACACCAAGTTACACAACGCAAAGCTACCATAGGTGGCAGTAACAGAGAGAAAAAGAAATGAAAAAATGGAACCAAATAATTCCAATTAATTTTGTGTTGCAATCAGCATCTCAATACACCCAAGAAAACTACATGTCTGCATTTGACTTACTGTTGCAGCAATGAAAGAGATAAATGGGGCTTAGAGTGGTTATCCTGATCAATAAGGTCGAGAAAGATGGGACCAACAAGTACATTACTTTTAAGGCAAAGCATAAATCGATGGTTCCAGAAGAGGAGGTGAGCGTCGCCGGTGATGGAAGGAACCGGTTATCGTCGGAGGGACAATAAGTGGGAATGTATGGGCATGTGGCCAAGTGCGGGAGAGATGAGCTCGTGAGAGTAAATAAAGATGTTTAGTGCTATGCATGTTAAAAACCCCACAATTCTAAAGAGACAAAACATGATTACTTTTATGGTTTTATTTTATTTTATTACCCTTCATTTTGATTAAAAAATATATATTTACTTAATATATTACATTTCCATCGTTTTTATTTCTTACTTGGATGAGGATAGTGGCATCATAGTTGAAGAAGCTTGTGAATTAGATAAAGAGATGGGTACACTTCAATAAGATAGAGGTTTGTTGTTCAGTGTGGCACACGAGATCAAATGGCTAATGATTCAAAATTAAAAAAAAAAAAATGAAACATCTAGAGTTATTTTGAAACTATTTTTTTTAATTATATTATTTTTCAAAGAATAATTAAAAACATTTACAAAATGTTAAACAAATACATTTCACCTAAAGAAAGTAAACATAATGTGATTCGAAATAAGCTCTTAATTTCTCAACAAAAAGAATAAAGTAAAAGCCCACCGTACCTCAAATTATATGTAAAAACTTCTTAAAAATTCAATAGAATATAAGATAAAAATATTGTCAAGAATGACTCGTTAAAAAGAAAAACAAAATATGTCAGCACAAGACATGTGGAACAAAAGTTTATTTCTAATCTAATTTTTTTTATGAAAATTTTAATAATGTAAACTTAAATAAGTCTTCAAACTACTTACCGACAGAAAGGGAATTAGAATTTGAAAAAAGAAAGGGGATTAAGAAAAATTAAATTAAATTTTATTTTTTAAAAATAAAAAATAATTTATTAACATCAATATAATTGATCAATTAATTTAAAATCAATATTATTTAATATTTATCTAACTATATCTTCTTAACATTTTTATTATCAATAGAAAAAAAGTTTATACTTAAATTTTATTGGGATAATTATAAAGTTTCTGACAATATTTAAAATAATCATTAATTATTATTGAGTTAAAATGTAATTATTATAAAGCAGTTAAAATTAAAGAGAGCCAAAATTATTATTCGAGTTTAACGGGATGCATGATTTTTAGTATACAATATAATAGTAAGGACTAACAAAACTCTAAAGAACGACTACTGTGCTTATATGGATATCTCATGCCTAATATTTTTAGCAAAGGCATTCTATTCTAATGATTTTTATGTTATTCATTATGTATCAAAAATTCAATAAAAAAATTTGCCAAAAATCTACCATCATATTTAAAATATATAATATGACAACTCCCTTAATAGTTAGATCATCCATATAAAAGCTTAATTAGTTTATACATATATATATATATAACAATATATTTTAAGGAAATTTCTCATATAAATAGATTGATGACAATATGATCCAACTATTTTGAATCAATCAAATATTTCATAATAAACAGCTCATATATTATTTAAAATAAAATATGGATAAATATTGCATTAACTTATAAAAATGTATAAAATATATTTGTTTCATCTCTCTTACACTCTTTATCATAGCTCAAAAAATAAAGAATATCTCCACAAATTAAGAAATTTGTTTTTGGCAATTTCTATGAATGATCGAAGAAGATAAATATGTACAAAGTCAAGCCTATTCGCATGTTCGCTCGAGCTCGGCTAGATAAGTGACTCATGAGCTAAACTAAATAAGCTAATACACCAAGCTCAAGCTAATCCCTATTTGATATTTTACCACATGATCCAGCTCGTTTATTATTTAGTATTTTATTATAACACTACCTTTAATACTATCTTTTCTCTATGTTAATAAACAAGTAAGTAAGAACTCCTCGAGTTAAGCTCAAGATTGAGCTTAAACTCACTTAATTGTTCAAACTCAAGCTAAAGTCGAGAAAAGGTCAAGCTCGATTTGATTCGTTTAAACCCCAAGAAGAAAAAGCTCCGTTTTGTATCCTCATAAAGAATCAGCCATCAATGGCTATTAGTTTAAATGGAATTGCTCTTATGTTATAGATTATAAGGTAAAACGTCAAGCTCTCACTCACGTTAAATGATTAAAAAAAAACTTAATAGTCAATAAAAGAATCAAGATGATAAAGAATAAAAATATAAGCCCAAAGTGAAGGTAGGTCATCGAATATTTATATCAAAGTATGCTGATAAAAAAAATTTGTGAGAATAGACCACTTTTAAAATTAATGATTAATATGTACGCATTGAACCTAATTAATTTTCTTTAAAATATTAAAATGCACGCAAACTTTCATGGGTTTTGAGTTCCAAAAATCTTCATAAATACTCTTAATTAATAATCAGGTATTGTGGTCGAATATGTTAACATATGCGGTCCGGCCACTCTTTTTTTTAA